ATCCTTGGCAGCTCCTTCTTGCTGCTGTCCTGGGCTTTCCAGTAAATTGTAAGGTCAGTCTGTCTTAGGTTACTTTGTCGTGCATTCTTCCCTTCAGCTCTTTGCAGTGACTTCAGGTTGCTCTGTTGTCTTTCTTCCTTGTCTTTCAATCTTGCTATTGATGATTGATACAGGGGCAAAAGAAACTCATTTCAAGCCAATTTGCATGGAGAAAAGCAGATGATTGCAGTGTGAATACCTCAAGAATAGATCTTCCTGCCTGTTGCCCAAGCAATATTCAGGCAGCCAGGCACATTCTCTGCAATAAAAACACAGTCCAAACTATAGCAGATTTTAATTGGAAAATAAAATCAGATGTTCTAAGATTCTTGGTGTCTGATTTTTTGCCAATTATAAAGTAGGATGAGCTCCATTAGAATCACAACAATGCCTGACAAATCCTTCTTTACCGGTAATTTAATGGCTGAATGGTGGAACTGTGGCCACAAGTTAGTTGAGCTGTTAGTTTTACATGTGAATAATTTGGAGTTGCAGTGCCACTCAGTTTACATGAGGCTCCAGGTCTTCTGTTCCTGTACCTCCTGGCTTGGAGCAGGTAAAGGGAATAGAGCCCAAATGTGAGGTTTCTCCATGTCAGAATCAGAGGAATTGGGAAATTATCAGAGTCAGTCAGAGGGAGAGGAAGAAGCACAATTCATTTTTGGGGAAACCTACCAGATGCTACTTAGGAAGAAAGAAAGCAAGGGAATATAATTTATATTTTCTATACATACTGTAGGAATGTACTTAGCCCTACAGTTCTCTCCTCAAATTTTAATTTGTATTCCCAATCCCTGTGCTGCTGCTCAGGCCTCTGAGCACTCTGCATGCTCTTTGGATCATTGGATTGTTGATCTGCTGAAAACTGAAAATAGTTCATTCAGTTTGCAGCAGCAGTGAATTTTTACAGGTTTTTTTCAAGCATTCAGAATCTTATGGCTAACAAAAAAAAAAAAGACAACAAATAATGGATGGGGTTTGGGGTTGTTCATTATTTCCCTTTTTTTCCCCCCTCAAGATTATTGGGTTCACTAGCAAGGGCAAGAAGGGCTAGAAAACTGAATGAAGAGAAAAAATGATCCTTGAAAAAGAAACGCACATTTTTCATCTCCAAAATACATTTAAAAAAATAAGAGAGAAGATATTTTCTACAAACACTTTCTTTTGAAAAGAAGTGAACAGTGGTCAACCCACTCCTCAAGAACAGAAATATTTTTTACAATAGGCTGGACACTGAAACCATAAAGTTTTTAGATTTAAAGGCCAGTTCGTCTACTGATTTTTTGAGTATCTGCTGTGCTTTGCAGATTTTCCTTTTCATATGTACTGTGTTCTGTTCTGTGGGCTGGGATATTAATAGGATTTGATTTGAAGCACTTTCATGAATCACGTTGCAAGCTACATTTAGCTATTCCTAACTATTACAATACCTAAAGTACTGAGGCAATCAAATGCCATGGTAGTGGGGGCCAGGGGAAAGAGGGCAGGAGATGAAAAGATTTGAATCCTTAGGAAATCACTTCACAAAACAGGTATTTGTTACTCACCCGTGTGTTTGTTCCAGCAGTCTCTATGTATAGTTTGTGCACTTTTTACAAGAGCATGCAGTGATAGGATAAGGGACAATGGCTTTAAATTAAAAGAGAAGAGGTTTAGGTTTGATATTAAGAGGAAGTTCTTTACTCAGAGGATGGTGATGCCCTGGCACAGGGTGCCCAGAGAAGCTGTGGCTGCCCCTGGATCCCTGGCAGTGTTCAAGGCCAGCTTGGACAGGGCTTGGAGCAGCCTGGGACAGTGGAAGGTGTCCCTGCCCAAGGCAGGGATGGAATGAGATGAGCTTTAAGATCCCTTCCAACCTAAACCATTCTGAGATTCTACGATTTACTTCATAGCAACGTTTCCCAGGCTTCCTGAATGAATTATTGTTAATGTGTGGAGAAATAAACCACTTATTATTATAAATGTTTTAATTTTTTTTTCACTATTATTGAAAACTCCACTGAGAGAAGTGCAGTGAGGAAGCTGTTGATAGGCAGAGAAGATCCCTGTAGATGTATAGCAGAACTTATTATAGGAAAAGAAAAACTTGAGCTGCATGAAACAGCAAAGTGAGAGTTCTGAGCCTTGCCCTGCCCTGAGGAAATGGCTTTGTGTTTGTCCCAGGGGTGACCAGTCACTTTTCAGTGTGTCTTGTCACTATTCACTGAGTTGGATCCTGCTTCCTGTCCACAGTGGATTTGTTTTGTGGATGCTGTGGAGCTCTGTGTCAACATCCAGCAGTGTGCTTTGGTCCCTCAGGGCTGCCCTGGGAGGCAGCTGAGCAGATGGGCTCTCTCAGGGGTGTTCCTGTGGCAGGAGCTCCCCAGAGAGCAGCAGTGCAGGTGCTGTGCTGCAGCCCCAGACCAGCAGCCCTGCAGTGGGAACAAGGGGGAGGACAACACACAAGGAAGAGGCAGCCAGAAGAGGAAAAGAGAGGCCCTAAATGGAGAAACAGCAGCAGTTATCTGTGTCTGTGTCTAGGGCTTTAGGTGTAATGATTTTATCTACTCTGCTTCAGGCTGCAAAGCAGTTATATCACAGGGTCTGATTGTTTTATTCTGGAAAATGGATCACATCTTAATAGTGGCTAACATCTGAACAAGTGGGAATGGGAACTGCCATACATTTGCTCGATACCCAGTCCCTTTACACATCACTTGCAGTGGCAATCTATGGTGTCTCCTTTTGTGTTCCAGCTGCTTCATTTCTTCACCAATGCCAACTGATACCTTTTTTTCCGCCTGCTAGAAAAGCCTCTTTCCTCAGTAAACTCTTAATTTATTGATGAAAGCACAATACTCTTCCTCGAGCTAAGCCTCAGAGAACAGCTTCAGCCCTTGCAGCTGTGGAGCACCTCGAGGGTAGAGATGCTGAATTCTGCTGGAGTTTTTCCAGGGCTCCAGTCACTTCAGTGCTTTCAAGCTCTTCATTATGCTGTCTCCAGATATACTCTGGCCCTTGGATTTATTGATTGTTTTCCTTCTGAATCAGGTTGATAATAGGAAGCAGATTTTTGATTAATTATGTTTATATTACTTTCTTCATCGAGTGTTTCCAATCACTGTCTAGTGATGGCACTGTTGATCATTATCACTGATCTGTCCTGGACTCCTGATTGATGTTTACTGATTCTCAAATTTGTTTATCTCTAGCTCATGACACTCCTCATTTTAAGAAGCATTCAGAAGTTCAGCAGGACATCTTAATGCTCTGAAAAGGAAACTGAAAATGTATGACTTGCTAAAAAAGATCAGTATAAGTTGCATATAACAGATTACTGAATATGTTATTTGCTTTCCAAATTTTGGTGTGCTAAAATGAAACCCTATCATTTATACATGGTGACTTGTTTTTACTTCCTCTCAGCATCACACTTGGTGTCATTTCATCATCTTCTGCTGCAGTCTCACTGGTCCTCCTTGGGGTGAAATGTTCCCCCCAAAACCACATGAGTGTATCCCCACAGATAATCAACCTTAGACCTGTCCTGAAGTTTTTATGATGGAAGAATGTTATGTATACAAGAAAGAAAAAAAAAACCCGAAACAAATACCACTGCCAGAAACAGACCAACGTTGTTAATTAACTGAGAATCTGGCTTTGAGCTCCTCTGAGATTTATACAGCTTTTCCCTCTTTAATCAGGCTGGGGCTTCCCCTAAAACAGGTGGAACTGTGCACACCTTTGAGAAGCCAGGTGTTAGAAGCAGTAGAAGATTATGTCATTGCTTGTAAAATTCTTCATAAAATCAGAATTATCAATCACTCCTATTGATTAACAGATGATTTTCTACAACCCATTAGCAGACCCCAAACAGCCTCTGTAGGAGAGATTTTGTTAATTCTGTCCCTTGGATTTTTAGGATGCATTCTTCAAAAATCAGCATAGACTTAGGAAGGACAGGATCCATGGAGTGGAAGATAATGTGCAATTATCTTTATATATATTTTTATTACAGAGAAATTCACTAAGGAGAAAGCTCCCCAGCACATTCTCTTGTTACAGGATTCTGTAAAAGTCATATAAAAGCAGTGCCCTCTACTGCTCAGGGGCTTTCATTAACGAGTATTTAATTAGCAAAAACCCAACACTGGTCTTTTTAATGAGCGTGATTATATGGGCTTGCCTGTGATAAAAAGGACTCTGGATCTTTTTATTAAACAAAAAATGTTAATTTATCATTTCTAAGAAACATGAACCACCCATGTTCTTATGTTTACATGGAGAAGTGATATTTCATCAAGAGTTCAGAAGAAGCTTTATACATCTTCTCAGGCAGTGCAAAAGGAAAACACATTTTCAAGTAACTGCACGTTTCAAAACTATCCTTAAAACCTTCCATTTTATGGAATCGTGACCACAGGAAGGCAAAGGAATAGGAGGATTTCAAGTTGTGAAGATGCAATTGTAGAAAAAGACTTGATTCCCAAAGTAAAGGCAATGCAATCTGTTCAGCCTGTCTGGAGAAAATTCTTGTTGCTATTTATCCGCTAACTTTACAGTACATTTTCTTAAGAAATGTAAGATGAAAAACACATGTGGAAACAAGCTGAAAAAGATGCAGAAATAACGTTAACAGAGTCACAGCAAAATAGGGAGGTGACAGCCATTATATCATAGGAGTCAGGATGTCACACCTGGCACTAGACTAGGTTTTAACAAGACCTGATATGCCCTGGAGAAAATTTGAGCATAATTGCATACCTTTGCCTTGTGACTCCGTTTTATAAAGTTGAAATTTGGCCTCGTTAGCCAATAGAGAACTTCAGCCCATCCCAACCAATTGGGGGCAACTAAGCATTATAAATGGCCTCTGAGTCAGGGGAGGTTCCTGATTCCTTAGCAGTGTTTCTCCTTTGGGAGAGAGGCTCAGGAGAGACGATTTTGGTGTGAAGTTTGTGGTGTTGAGAGAGTTTTAAGTCATGGAAGCCTTCTGGGATTTAGTTAGCATGTTTCAGGTAAATTTGGTTTTCTTAAAAAAAAGATTTGTTTTTGTTGTGCTAATCGTTGGTATGAGCTGTAATGTTGCTTTGGCTTTGTATTGCTATGTAAGTAATGAGTTGTGGTAGAATATTGGTTTTTAGTGGTGTTATAGCTGTTTAAAATTTTGATTTGTTTTGGGGAATCTCATTAGCAGATGAACCTTCTACAGAGTATATCAGTATGTAGGTAAACCATAATGGGCTTCTTAATAAGCAAAAGATAAAGATATTTGTTCTCCTATGTGTTCCTATTTGTTCTCCTATATGTTCGCCTCTTATTGAAAAAAGTCTTATGTGGAAAAAATAATTTTCTTTGTGAAGACACAAAACAAAAGCTGTGAAGCTTGCTCTCAAGTGCTTTCTGGGTGGAGGAAGGCTGAGATAACCTGGCCATCATCTCTGTAAAATCCAACATTTGTTGTTGTTTAGGAGTTACGGTTTCTGCTTTGTTAAGGCTGAAGATGAGAGCAGCACTGATTGTGGAGCTGTGCCTGATGAACAAGCTTCTGTGTTCTGGGAGCAAAATCTGCTGTGAGGGCAAACAATCTGACTCTCCTCACTTTGCTTAGCTTGCAAATCCTGCTGGGCATCAGTGACTAATGGCTTCAGAGCTTTCTTTCTCCATGGCCTTTTCCTTATGCCAGTAACATAGTTCTTGAGTAACTTCTTTATTGTGTTAAATAAAGCACTGCTTCTGAAAGACTTTCAGAGCCTTTTCTTCCAGCCCTGATTTCTGTCCCTGTCATTATAGAAGGAAATTCTGGTTGGTAATGAGCTTTCTCTTCCTTGCTACTTTTTATTATGTGAGGCATGTGGTAGAGTAAGTTTGATTTTGCTTTTAAAATCTCATTAAATGTGTAATACCTATGGAGGACAATTGTGGGTTTTGTGGCTAAAATGGCCTGTAAGCTTTTTTTTCCCTCCCTAAATGTGCTGCAGCTCTTAATTAAGAGAGGTGGCTCTCCAGAGATGCTACTGGCCTGAGTTTTTTAAGCCTCCTCAGAATCTGCTGCAGAGTAGCTGCTTTATCTATGGTCTCCACTTGTTTGTATTTTACTGTACACTGCTGGAGTTACCTGTTATTTTAATGTGCTGTACTAGCCTTGAAAAACTGTAGCTTTTAAAGGTGTGTATTTATATCTTTTTTTCCCCCCCTTGATTTAACATTTTCCTGTGTGATGTTTTGGGGTCTGTGTTCTAATAATTCTTATCCCTGATAACCAGTAAATAGGAAGTTGCACTTCCTTGGGTTGAACTCACCTGTTGAGTGGGGTGAGAAAGGGATTTTGAGGGCCCTTAATTTAAAAAAGTGGGGTTGATTGAACCTTTCACTTAGTCACATTGTGTAGGGGCTTCACTCCAAAAGAATTAAAATGTTCCTGGTTCTCAGTTGTGTCATTGTAGGGCCTTTTGAAAGTGTCTTTGCGAGCCATAGGGAAAGTGTTGGAAGCCTGGCTGAATTGCAGTTTAGCTTAATTGCTCAGGGAAGGGCTGTTATCTTTAGCAGGATAAGAGTTTGGAGAATCAGGCACTGGGTAACTTCTTTAACTTCACTCTTCCTCTTGCACAGGCAGAATGACAAAAACTACAAAATCCTTGATTTAAGGTCACCACCTCATAGAAACTGTACCTAATTATTTTAAGCTGTGGCTTGGAAAAGTTCTTTTATAGAGCTGTTTCTAGAAAATCACTGCTTAATAATCATGACAATAAAGACGTGAGAAATGTGATGTTTTGTGTGGTGTTTGGCTGTAAATGGGAGATCGAGACATTATTTGTTTGGGTGTGGCTGTTCTCTGTTTTGTTATGACATGCTTGGTTTGGAGAATAAAAAGCAGAGCTTTTTAAATGCTAGTTTAAAGGCTGAGCAAAATGGCTGAGGATTTATCTTGCAGATCAGATGCCCAAAGGTTGGCTTGGTTCAGCTTGGGAGCCAGCACAGGTTTTTCCATCTTTCCTGTAAATTGGCAGAGGGCCTTGGAAAGTGCTGGGCTCTTCCCATCAGACACCAAGTGAGGGCTCAGCAAAAGTTCAACAGCAAAGTACAGAAACACCAGATCTGTGACTGGGCTGCCATTCCCAAACAAGCTGGGCTTTGTTGTGAGCAGGAGCTTTCCGGAATGTGCATGGGGACCAGGAATAATAAGGGGGGTGAGTGCTGCCTGGTGCTGGGATGCAGCTGACAGCTCTGGGCTCCCCATCCTCTCTTGCAGAGCACAGCCATGGGGGATGCAGCAGGGCAGCCTGAGCCCAGGGCTGCTCGCTGGCAGCTCTTTGATTGCAGCATGAGGAGTGCAGCCAGGAGGATGAGGACGTTCCAGCAGTGGCCCCGCACTGCCCCTGTGTCTGCCCGGGACCTGGTGGAGGCTGGATTCTTCTATGTGGGCCCCAGGGATGAAGTGCAGTGTTTCTGCTGCGGTGGTGTCCTGAAGGACTGGAGACCTGGTGATTGCCCCATCATGGAGCACCGCAGTTTCTTCCCTTGCTGTCGATACCTCTGCGGCGAGGGCGTTGGGAACCAGGAGATGCTGTCCCTGCAGAACATCTTTGACACTGTGGATGGGCAGTTCCTGAGTGTCTTGCCAGGGATAGTCAGTGAGGATACAGCCCTGCCCAACGAGCCAGAGTACCCTGAGATGGTGACAGACGAGATGAGACTGTCTACATTTGAGAACTGGCCACAGAATTCCAGCGTGCATCCAGAGCAACTGGCTAGAGCAGGGTTCTTTTACACAGGTAGGTACTCTGGGCATATATCCTTAACTCTTATTCAAGTTAACTTTTGAAAGTTTCACTGCTTTATTGCTCCTACAAATACCTGTGTGTACATGTCTTGTAGTTAAAAACCACATCCTTCCTTCTGCCTGTGCTGTTTCTCTTGCTGCTTGTGCAGAATTAATTTCAACATTGAATTTCTGTTTGGGTACTGAGGGGTCCACTAGTAAATTCCTCCTTGTTAGCAGGAGAGGAAAAGGTGATGTGTTTTAAAGAGATGTTTTACTGACAGAAAAGTGTCTGCTTTAAGATCCATTGAGTATATTTATTCCTTGCACTTCTAAAAGGACTTGAGGAGCTTGCTTGGTGTGGCATGTTTTGGATAGGCTGTGTCTTGCACTGAAGCCTTTCTTCTCAAAACCCGAAATCAGAGTGACAGCTGTATGGAGTCAGCCCGTCTGGATGTTGCTGTGGCTTGTTTCTCTAAGGACTCTTCATTTGAAATACAGAAATTAGATACTTTTTTTTTTGTTGTGGAAAATTGGCAATACTTCTTGTAATCACATGCATGTGAATAGCAATATAATACTATCCTTTCCCTTTGAGAATTCTTTGCTGGTTAGGTAACAGGTTTGAAGAAATACTCATCCCTAAATTGACCAGTCAGAGGAAATATTTGCACTGTGGCAGATTGTGGTTAGTGAGCAAAGTGTGTTCACAGATATAACTAATTCCAGCTCTGCTCTAAAGGCAGGCAGGGGCATTGGCTGGGGGGATGTGCAGGGATGCTCAGCTGCTCCCATAGATGCTGCCTGTTAGCTTGTGACCCCCTTCTGGAATCATCTCAACCAGCTGCAGCTCTGGGAGCTCAGACTGAGTTCCTGCCCCTGTACAATGTGCACTGTGTTGGTCAATTGTCATGTGTTCATCTCTTCTGTCCAGAGCCTGCCTTTTGTGCTGAGTCTCAGCCCAGGTTCTCACCCAGGGTTAGTGTAGGGCATGTCGTGTCTCAGGTATCAAATAACCCCTTGATCTCCCTTTCAGGACAAGGAGATATGGTGAGGTGTTTTTACTGTGATGGAGGCGTGAGGAGCTGGTCCTTTGGAGATGATCCTTGGAGGGAACATGCCAAATGGTACCCTGAGTAAGTCAGTCTGGTTAACCAATACCTCTCCTAGCAAGGCTGAAATATAGGTCATGCATTTCACACTGGTACTTTTCTTTCACAGGATAGAAATATTTATATCCTCTCACCTTTAAAAGCAAAATAAAATGTTCATGCTCAGGTGGAATGGCACAGTTCAGACCTGAGATTCTCTACTTTGACCTAGAGCTCACTATCTAAGAGTTCAATTAAAATAGCTTTCTTTGGCATCAAAGAAGAACTTTCATTACTCCCACTCTGAGGTACAAGAAGAAATGTATTGTTAGTCTTGGGTTTCTGCAGCAGTTCTTGTTTCTTTCCTGTGAACTGCTCTCTCATAGTTCCTGTGGTCTGTTCTAAAACATGTTATAACTGAGCTCATCTTGGGCCAAAATGAAGACTGAATTAAGGGGGAGGGATCGTGATCCCCTTACTGTCAGCCTTTGTGCAGGAGGTGGGCAGGTGAAACACCTGATACCTTGGTTTTAAGGGATATAGAGCAGTTTGCTCATTGCCCATAGCACCCTTTGCTACTTGGGAGATCCTGTATTAATCCATTTAAACTTTTCTGCTCATAGGTGTGAATTTTTGCTGCACTCAAGGGGGAGAGAATTTGTCAGCAACGTCCAGGCAACCTTTTCTACCACCCTGCTGGCTCCAGTGAGTCATGAATATTTTGTGTAGTGGATTAGGTTTGGTAGATTGAGAGAATTTTGAACACATGCTTCTCTTTTCGTATCATTTTCAGAGACATTCCTGGGATCAGACTGAGCAAGACTCCTCTCCTTCCCAAGGTCAGTGCTGTAATTCCATGGTGTTTTATTTCTGGTGAACGTGGTGTAGCCTGAGTTCCACCAGCCCAGCTCAGCTGCTCTGCCCTCTGCAGACATGGTGTTTGAAATGTTTTGATATTCTAGAAGCTGTTTCACTTTGGTTTTAGAAATGGTCTCTAGCTAAAGAAACAAAATTACTTGTTCTTGTGACACCTCTTAGTCTAAGGCTAGAGACATTTAGCTAGTCTGGATAATCATGTGAGTTTTGAGTGCTTACCTAACTTACCTCTGGCTTTTGCATGTTCTTGCTGTTGATGTCTGTCTGTAAAGCCCTTCACTACAACACTTTAAATGTGCTTGATAAGAGAACAGTAGAGGGTCTAGATGTTCATGAAAATGTTGATCCTGGGGTTTATTCCTACTTATCAGTTGCTTCCAGAAATGTAAGTTGGTGAAATTTGGCTGCTATAAGCTTAAGCAAGACTTGAGCCTTTGAAGAGACTGCCAGCTGAATTTCCTACTTGTGTTGTTACTGATGAATGGTTGAGGTAGGAGAGGCTTCAATTGGGATGTTCCACTTGATGCTCATGAAAGCAGTTCTGAGGCTTCTGTTCTGGGATGTGAAAACACAGATAAGGATTCTGGACTGATGCCAAACACAGGAGACTGTTCACTGATAAAGTGAAATAAACCATTCAAAGTAAGTGTCTGGGCTTTTATGAAATTGGCTTTGACTAACCTTCTTGTGAATTATGATTTGAAGTAAAAAATATATGTGGAATTTAATCTAGCTATATGGATAGCTTGAGGAGTGTTTTAAGATGTATTAATGCTATTTTAGGTAGAACACCTTCAAGGAATGGCATGCTTTTCCCCCAAAGCTCTGCCTTCTTGATAAAGTATCTGTTCACTGCTTTACAGATCCTCTCAGGGACTGGAAATTGCGGGCTCATCCTTCCAAGGAACAGAGTCTCATAGTGCAGAATGTCCTGCAGATGGGCTTTGACCCCACCTGGGTGGCAAACCTGATAGAGAATAAATTTGCACTGACTGGGAATTTCTACCTGTCTGAGTCCGAGCTGGTTTCAGACCTGCTGCAGTCAGGCTGTGGGGCCAGCAGCAGTGCAGGAGGAAGCAGAGGTAGGCCTGACTCCCAGCTGGGCTGGGGGGTGTTTAACCTCTTCCTCACTGCCCCTGAGGGTCTGCCTTCACTCTGCCCGGGCTGGAATTGAGAGGGGTGATGCCCCCATGCCTGCCTTTCCTTGGGAGGCTGAGCAATGAGGTTCTGGTTTAAAGAAACCTGGAGAAGCTGTGGTTACTGGGATGTCAGTGGCTGTGTCTGCCTGCACTGGGCTGTGCTGGGGATATCCTTGGTGTTTCCTGCTGCCCTCAGACCTGCAGTAACTGGCAGCTCCATGATGTGCAGGCTTGTGTACAAACTCGCAGCTGTTCCAGACAGAGGCGGTTGTCTGAAGCAAAGCTCCTAGGATGGATGATCAGTCCAAGCCTATTTAAAACTGGATCAATAACTTGATCAGAAATAGCCATAGTTCTTGTCTGGATAATAAATATATTCCTTAACTTGTCTTGTGATAGCTGTTTTGTGAAGTCTGTTTGCCAAGTGAAGTTTACTTGAAGATACAGTTCCAAAGCTGCTGCCTCCACAGTATGGTCTGCCATTTCTGTAGCTAACATGGAAAAAAAAATTCCACAAAACTGAATTTTTTTTTTTTAAATAGTATCACAGGAGCTGGAATGACCAGCTGATGTAATAGGTAAACCAACTTTGAGGAGAGAATGTGATGTGGGCAGACAGGCATTGGCAAGGAGGTAAACTTGCATAGCTACTGAAGCACCACAGAGAACATCAGCCACACCAGGCTGAGTTAAGAAATTTTTAACAAAATGCTTCTGAGGTCCCAGGTTATTGCATCTTTTCACACAGCACTGTCAGGAGAGGGATAAAGGGGGTGCCATGGAATGCCATCTTCTTTTCTGGTTATACAGGTGCTGTTCAGAGAGAGACTGGAACATCAAGACAAGAAATGCCATCTGTGCAGCAAAAGGAATCAGGTACTCTGGGCTAGCAGTGGTGGGGAATTGAGCTAAAGCATAATTGGGAGGAGTTCTGGAATAACAGTATCAGCAGCCATTATATTAATTTATTTTTTTAATTTTGAAGGGGACTGTGTGCTAGTTTGAGTGGTACCTGAGCACAGGAACCCTTATTCAGTGCTCCTGTGAAGCAGCTGCCACAAAAAAATCCGGTTTATGGGGATAATTATGTGCCACATTAAATGCTGTTGATCTGTGTCTCTGCTCAGTCCAGCATGTGTAGATAAGCTGAATCTTGTGTAAATAAGCCATTCTACAATATCTGTAATTTTTCAGCTTAAATGAAACTTGCCTGAGAGGCACTTTTGCCACTTTTACAGTCTCTGAACAAAACAATGGGCAAGTTGCAGTATGATTTCCTAAGATCTGGCACTCTGGAGTTGTGACAACACTAACAGTTTGGGCTTTTTTTTTTTTTTCTTTTGATAAAGATGGGTCTCAGCTGAGCACAGAAGAACAGCTCCGCCGCCTGCAGCAGGAGAGGATGTGCAAAGTGTGCATGGACAAAGATGTGTCTGTGGTGTTTGTCCCCTGTGGCCACCTGGTAGCTTGTGCAGAATGTGCCCTCAATTTGAGGCTGTGTCCCATCTGCAGAGCTGCCATCCAGGGCAGTGTGAGAGCTTTCATGTCCTGAGCCATGATGCACTCAAGGGGAGGGAGAAGTCCATACAACTCATTCGTAACTCAGCAGAGGGAGAAAATAAGTAAATAGTTTGCTGGAGCAATCTTATTTGCAGGGTAGCCTGGCATAAATGTAAAAATTCACCAAATATGTCTCTCATGCACAGTATTTCTAGGAAGAACTGCTGGTTTGATCTACTTTTGCTTTAGGACTGCTCCAGGAAGACTCTGGTGGATTTTTTTTGCCCTCCAAAATGAGGCTTTTATTGACAGAGATTCTACTTCTCCATGCGTTTGTGTTCTCAAGTGAATCTTTGCTCTCTGTATTGAAATCAAAGACTGTTTTCAGCAGACTCTCTGGTTCTTTCTCACTCACTTAGCAGAGCAATCTCTAGACAACTGCTGGGGATTCCTTCAGGAAGTTTGATTGAAAATGGGAGTGTTTTTTGTACAAAATGCATTCCACTGAGACTAGAATACTCAGCAGCAATGTGCTGTGGGGGAGGGAGAATCTACCTTTTTTCCCCTCTTGCTGAATTTTCAACAACCGATGAAATGCTTCAGTAATATTCAAATTTGCATAACTAAGTGGAAAATGCTGGCCTGACTGTCCAAGCTCTCTGCTCTCAGCTGACCTCCCCAGGTGGAAGGCTCTTTGCTCAGGGTCACTGGATGGTCTCCTGGAAGCTTCTTATGGGGCTCTTCTCTGGCTGTTGGGTATTATCCTACTAGGAAACAGCTCTGGAAACACACCTTTATAGAACATCTGTTTGCTGGTTAAACTGGTGATTCTTTATTTAAAATGGGATATTCTATCATGTAGCCTAAAGGAGTTAGTTTCATCCACACTATCCCTTGTTAAGTGAAGGGGAAGGCAGATGTTTTTAAAAATAAACAGTTCTTTTTCATGGAATAAATTTTTTTTCTTTGTTTAACTTAGAGGTCTGAGTATCTGATTCTAGTAGAATTCCCTACTGGGGGAGGGGTGTGGTGGTGTCCTAAGATGTTGGAGTGACATCCGATTGTAAATCACATCTGTCCTTCAGTGCTACACGGGCAGGAGTAAGAAAAGCAACTGCTCTTACTATCCATTAGTTTCATTTGGAATTTACTAGACAGCACAGGGCTTGTAGAGCCTTAGAATGGTTTGGTTGAAAGGGACTTTAAAGTTTGTCACATTCCATGCCCCATCCATGGGCAGGGACACCTTCCACTGTCCCAAGGTGCTCCAAGCCCTGTCCAACCTGGCCTTGGGCACTGCCAGGGATCCAGGGGCAGCCACAGCTGCTCGGGGCACCCTGTGCCAGGGGCTCCCCACCTTCACAGGGAAGAATTTGGCCCCTCAAGATCCTCTTAAACTGCAAAAGAAGGGGCAAGGAAGAAGGAGAATAAAGATCTGATACATGAAACTTCACAAATGCAGAATAATTCTGATCTGAACTCTGCAGAGTTTTGGTAAGTGGCTCTTCAGTGTATTTGTGGCTCTGGAATTGTTTCTGTTTGGTTCCAGCTCTTGTTACTCTAAACAGCTTAAGGGCTTGTCTAGGAGTAACTTTAGTGTGTTAATTGTGGATCCCATGGGAGGGCAGCTCTCTTCATCCCTGCCTTCAGAAGGGAATATTAGCACAGTGCCTGGCAAAGACGATAGAAATCACAACTTGAGTGGTTTAAACTCTGCAGCTCTTGGAGGAATTGGTTGTCTCTGCCAGGCAGCAGCTTTCCTAGGGAACAGAACCACCGTGCCAAATTAGCTGTTGTCTGGCTTCATGGTATCATTAGCTTTGTTTTGCCTCTATAAATACAGCAAAAACTTACAGTTTTAACAGATGTGCTAATGTGAGAAGGGAAAACACCAGCTCAGTGCTGGAACAGTGTTATTTCCTCTTAAACTCATCTCAGTGTGACTGGAACCTAAGTGAGGCTGGAAATGTACCAATTATTTCTAGGGCTTCTCCTATGGAACAGTGTGAAAAATGTGGTTTTTCCACACCAGGAAAAAGGAGGAGCTGGTTTGTTTTCCTGTGGGGGAATGTCCCTTGAGGAAGGGGTACCACGTTGTTCTGTGGTGAGGAGCATCTCCAGCGATGTCTGTCCCCAACAGAGGGCACTCCGAAACTGGAGAAGAGGGAAGGCACCACCTTCAGCTGCTCCTGGATCACCCTGGGGATGGGGTGGGGTGGAAGGGACGGGCAGTCCCTGCCCTCCCTGCAGGGTCACTGTGCCACCCTGTGGTGCTCAGAGTGGGTCTAGCACAAGCAGACCATGAGAGACTCAGGGCAGGAGGAGGAATGGCTCTGCTAATAAAACCTGGAGGAGATAATTACATGTGGAATATGACCCTTGGTAGCTTTGTTTCTTCTCAGACTATTTTTTTTTTCATTATGATTAATGGCAGTTTGTTATACTGCATATTGTAGACTTACCTGAATATGGGCTTGGTGTTTATTTTACTTCTATCAATTGGTGCTTTATGCTACAATGAACACAGGCAATTGAGTGGTAGTTCTGAAGTGACTCAGTCAATCACACTTTTATTTAATTGATCTTTACCAGTGTGTATTAAAGGCAAAGGGCAATGCTGTTAAGTGAATAGTTTGATGCCTTATCTCTTTAGAGTATTTGGTGTAAGTGGTTTTGATCAGTTTTATTGGTGAAAGTGGCATCAGAGCTTGGTCAGTTGGAGAGGTGTAGTGTTAAAAACATGCAGACCTCAATTCCAAAACTTTCCCTCCTCTTACCATCTAGAGGAACTGCTTCCTGAAACTAACAGGGAAATGTTTCAGGTATTCAGAGCTGAATCTGTGCTTTTTCCATCACCTGTGCTGAATTTTGGTTGCTCTTAAACAAGGCTGACAAAGACTGCTGGTATCTGATTGATAATACTCTCTCTGAGGAAAAAAATTCATATTAAACCCAAAAAGTGTGAAGTCAGTGCTTACTGAGAAAAGGAAAGATTAATTTTAAAAGCCACAAACAAATGAGATCTTTCATGGGAAAATCTCGTTGAATAGAGGATGTGCATTCTTCTTCTCCTTTTCGTTTTTCTGCCTCTCTGGGGAACATCAGGTGGGCAGACAGGAATGAGTGTGATCCAGAAAGAAAATGAATAAAGGAGAGGTGGAGAAAGTGTTAACAGTGTGTGCACACTGCTGTGTGTGATCTCAAAATGGAGAGTAGCTTGTGTTTCACTGGCATTTTTTAACTTGGTAGTGACCAATATTACTAATAAGGGAGTGAGTTGTGTTTTGTCATGCAGAGCTGTCAGGGTTGAGCTTTTGTCTTTGAGGTATTAAACTAGGCTGAACCTAGTTGTCTGTTTTGCTCAGTCAGAAGCTGTGGCTTTTGGTGGCTAAAAGAAGGGAAAAAACACCCAACAGAAAACAACATTTTTACTTGCAGCTGCACCAGAGCAGAACTCAGGATGTTTGGGTATCTGGAATAGAAGTTGCACAGAAGCAAAAAATATTCTCTCAGTGCTTACACATTGGAGTTTATAAAAGAGGATTTTGCTTCCTGGGCCCTTTGGAATGAGACATAAAAAAGCTGTATCATTCTATCTTTGATTTAGCACATAATATTTTTATTTTTAATTCTTCCCTCACACTTCTCCCTAGCATGGCTTTGAGCTTGACCCTTCTGCAAAGCATTTCTCAAAAAATGCTAAGTAATCCCAAACAAATTAAGCAAGACAATAATGAATTACAACAGCACTTGAAGTACCAGCCCAAAAATGTCAGTGCTGGCTGACAACTGCTCCTCCTCTGCTTTTGACACTCAACATGCTGGGAGACACAGCTAATAAAACTGACTTGGTTTTGTTCTTTTTAATTAATTGCTGCAGCTCATTAATGCAACTTAATTACACTCACATTCCCCCTTCAGCCCTTTCCCTCCCCTCAAAAAGCCTGTCACATACAAAACTCTTCCATCAGGCAGTTACCATGGAATAGGTGTGGCTCCAGGTGAAGAAGGCAGGTGCAGCCCCACCTGTGATCCCTGAGCTGAGCCTTTTCCAGTGGCCTGCAGCAGGATTCAGCTACACCAGGGTTAATTCAATGGAGCTGGGCAGAGCCAGAGTAAGCTACAGCTGCTCCAAGAATGGCTTGGCTGGTTGGAACGGGGTGAAGCTGCATGCTGAGTGAAGTGGCTGGGCTAGATTTCAGCTGTTCAGCATTACAGGAGTTGGGGCACAGAGCACTGAACTCCAGGACAAATGCCTACTGCCATGGCTACAGAGAACGAGCAAGGGGGTGAAGAAGGGAAAAGTTCTCGTCTATAACTTAGAACCCAACAATGCCTAAGTAATTCAGGTGTAAAGAGCCCCCACCTCATTTTATGCAGGCAGGGAGGAGATGAAGTTGTGTTAGGGGATTTAGGCTCTGCTCAGAAAAAGGGGAGGAAACTAACTACAGAACACATGAAATGTCCCAGGGTGTTACACAGTGCTTCCTTCTTTCTGGATCCATGGTGCAAGGAAGCAGCTCCAACTTCACCTTGTAGCTCTTGAGAGAGGTGAACTTGTTCTGCCAGAGCTCTTTAGGCCTGTGCCATCTCTGGGCCAGTACCAGCAGACTGTGGTAGGAAAGGTTCATCAGGGCACTTGGAGAATTAAAAACCAACTGTGTGGCCATTCTTTGATGTACATTCATTGTGTTTGAAAAGGAGACAAGGAACAAAACAATGGAATGGAGTTCACCATCCTGCATTTCCTCTGCCAAAGATCCAGGCCCCAGGGGACTGTTTCCTGCAGCACCTTTGGTGGAGTGCAAGGCTTATCCATCCTCTGGCTCCTCTTCACTTACGCAGGCCTGGAAAAGGGGAAAAAGGTAAAGGCAGGGTGTGAGTGTAGAGCAAGTATTCAGTTGCTTTCTTTATGTAACAGAAATGGTGTGGAAATAGTGAGGAAAATTGTTTGTTTCCTCTTCTGGACTTTTAAATAAGATTGACTACAGATGAGGAATAGGATTGAGAAGTAATGTGGTTAAATAGTCTTCAAGCCTGGAAAGAATGCAATGCATATGTCAGACCTGAATATGCTGCAGTTAGGCTCAAGTGTTAGATCTATGGATCCTCAGCGTTTGG